TCAGACTCTGCTACTAGATACTCATTTTTCACCTTTGTTGCTTGCCGTTAGGCATTAGCGTTGCACAAATAAAGAACTAGGAGTTTCTGGGATCTATCTTTCTCTTTGTCATTATGCTGTGGGCCAATGGTGTGAGAATATTAAAAACAACTCCTCTACTTCTAAAAATGCAGTTTTTAAGATCTAATTTACACTCTTGAATGTTGCACTTAGAGAGACTAAATCTGCCGATTTGATTATTTCTGTGCAGAGAAGAACTAACACCATGGCCCTGAGAAAATTATCCTCACGTTCTCTTATGAGAATGGCCCTTGGTTTGCATCTGAGCACATAAATTTCTGTAGAATATTGCTATTCTCTACATGCGAAGAGTGGCTCCCATGCTTAAAGTGTTCATAGAGTCAATGTGATATAAAACTGAACATCTGCTTCCTTCATGATTCTGGAATGAGGCATGAGCCAGGCAGGAGAAGCCTACACAACTGACTCTAATATAAACCCTGGACTTCCAGATCAGGCGAACTTTGCTGGTGGACAGCGTGTTACATGTGCTGTCACAACTCGTTGGTGGAGAAATTTGGTACATCTTGTAAGACTTCACTGAAAGAAGACTCTTAGGCATGTTTTCCTCTGGATTTTGCCCCATGTATTTTGCTTTTGAGAATTATTATAAATGACAGATGTGGGAACAACTGTATGCTGAGTCCTGTGAGAACTTTGTAAGCACTGAAACTGGAGGTGGTTTTGGGAACTCAAGGCATATGCCTCCTTGTCTAGTTAGCTTTATTTCCCCTTCTCCTATTGGTGGCTCCTGGGAGTGCATTAATAAACTGCAGGATTCTATTCCTTAATCAACCTGTGCTTCTGGGAGGATCTGAGTCAGTCAGAACGTTAGTCTTAACCAAGAGCATTTGAGTCTGTCATCATTCTTGCTCCAGATTATTTGTTCCTTTTTTTTTTTTTTTTTAACCTACCTCTGTCCAACTCTATTCTTATTTTTAAATAAAAGCTTACTTGGAGAAATTAATTGAGTGTTCACAGATCATAAATTGGATATGAATTTTATTTTATAACTTACAATAGCGCACTTTATTGCCCTGTTTCTCTTCACATTATGTTTTGTTAGAGGTTCAATTTTTCAGTATTCTTAGAAGTTTATTACCCTGTTCACCTCAAGCTATTCAAATGATACACCCTTACATCCTACTTCATACTGAACACACCAGACAAAAGAAATATGACATGTACTACTTGGGAAACAAATAGTATTCAGCTTCCTTTTTTTTCCACTCAGATGTAGATATTCACTGTAATCTGGAAGGAAGAAACTAGTAGCAAAAGTTTCAGAAAGAATGTACTTCCTTAAAGTATTCTGGTGCTTTAGGGAGAAACGGTTTCTGAAGCAAAATTCCTGTTTTAAAATCTTGCCTTATGCTAATTTCAATGTGCTCTTAATCCTAAAGCTTCCTTTGTATTTTCTGGGTTGCTGACAATCTTTTTGTAGCAGAGTTGTTCCCATTCAAGAACAGCACAAATCGATCCTGAAAGCCCTGGCCAGTGACCCCCTCACTCCCACTACTGTACCATTTACAACGGTATCATGGTGAACTGTGCTGATTTGTAATTCAGGAAAGCATTATTATTTTGCTTTTATAAAAATCTGGGCCAAGAATGACAGAGAATTGTGCATGTCAATTGATTACATGATTACTAATGTTAAATAACATAAGAAAGGTAGCATGGATGGCCAGACATTTGAAACTACTGAGGTTCATCACTTTGCAAAATAATATGGAAAACAAGACAAGAAAGTTGAGTTTCTGAAATTCACCTGGAATGATGTCAATACTTAACATCTGAAATAGAACCCATAGTATGAAAATATGGGTACTGTGGTTTATGATGCTTTTCAACAAAGGAAAGAAAATATGGAAACAGTATTTGGTTTACAGTCTCAAGTAATAAATAGGACAATACATTTTTCTCCCATTTCCAGCTTAAGAGCCTTTGTTTTGCCTCTGACCAACCAATTGGGAAACAAAAGACTCTTAGTTCACCAAATTGAGATCTTTAAATAAAACACATAAATGCCATGAACATTAAAGAGGGGGAGTTCTCAAAGGTACAACACTCTCCGAAACTCCCCTCTCTCTTGTGGTACAGATCTGGAATTGCTTTATGATGATCTTCAAGTGTCCATTACACAGAAAATGTTAATCTCTTCTGGAGATTCTAATAGTGTTTTGATCTTTCTTTTGTCAGCAATTTGTTCCACACCTCTGTCAGTCAAAATCCACATAAAACTCCTCCTAGCTGCTCCTCAGAAAAGTGGAAAAATGACTATCAATAGCGAATCCTAATGATTTCTAACAGCTAAGACAAAGAATATTTCAGAAAAATGAAAATAGACTTTAAACACTTTCAGGTCATTAACAAAGTTGTGAAATTTATGAGAAATGTGGGAGAAGAAACTCTTACTATTTGCTAGATGCACAAGCTCTAATTCTTCATGTCCCTAGTTGAATGTTAACTTAATTATAAAACAAAATCTATAGCCACAGCCCAAGCCTGGGGGTAGAGTCTGTGCTACTAATCAACTTTAATTCCCTGGGCTAAATTTAATTACAAAACAACATTTGGTGCAGCTGCTAAACACTTACAGGTGACCACATGATAATATCGCAGTAATATTTACAGGTCTGTAGTTTTTGCTTTATTCATTCTACCCACACAGTAATAGCTCAGTCATATAAAACTTTGAGCCCAGCCTAGAATTTACACTACACGACAATTTTTAACTATTTTATACATCAATGTAGTTAAGCCAGGTAGGTATTAAATTTTACTTCAACTAATTTATGTTAGGATATATATTTTATGATGGATGGGATAGCTTAATAAAGAACACTCATAAACTGAGCATCATTTGTATACTTCTTACCTTTGTACAATCTTTTTGTATGTGAGACAAAAACAAAACAGCTTATGTGTGTTTTGTCCTATCAATTTGATTTTTAGGTTATAACAAATATTATTTTCCAATACATCTGAATGTATCTAATTCATATTTATTCATATTTTTAGTGTTTCATGAGACAGACATATTTGTGTTACAAAATAATTTTTACTTGACACAATTAAAATTAGTCTTTGCCATTGTGTAAATAACTGGCTTTTCTAATTTGTATAAAATATATTCATTCTGCACAAAGATCTGGGAAGATTATTGCACTCAGGGACCTAGATGTGATATTTTGGTTGGATAACACTGAGGTAAAGTTTTTACTTCATATTGTTTTAGCTTTTTTGCGCCACTCAAATACATCTTTTGTAATTTCTGGGACCCAGATTTTCTCTGGGTCTTTAGAAGAACATGAAAAACTATTTGAATTGAGGAAAAGATTAAGATGCAGTATTAATAAGGGAGTTCAATGTGACCTTTACTTTTCATTCAGCAATTCAGAATATAATACAGAATACTGCCCAATCTATATTAGGACTTGGTATCTGAGACCAAAATTGCTTTTTAAAAAGTGTTTGAAGTATTTCAGATAGAATCTACTGAGTACATTTCTAGCCCTTTTTGTTTTATTTTGAGACAGGGTCTCAATAAATTGCTAAGTTGCCCATGTTGGGCTGGAACTTGTGATCCTTGTGCCTCAGTTTACCAGACTGCTGGGATTGTAGGTGTGTGTCATCAGGCCCAACAGATACTGCTTCTTTTGTTTTCTCTTCCTTGGTACCAATCTTTGAATGTTACTTTTGCCTTTTTTCCTGTTTAGATTAAAACAGAAAGGCTAAAAAGAAGATGTATTACAGCTAATTATACCTTTATACAATAAAGAAGATTACATTAAATTCATCTGAGGAGTTCTGGAACGATAATCTCCTTTGAATTTTACACTGGTTCAGATATTACCTAACACAGTTCTGCATGGCTCATGTAGACGTTGGACAAAGAAGATGCTGTGTGTTTCAAAGTCAAAAGGCTAATGTCTCTGTAATACTAGTATCTGTCAGTCTCCTACCCCAGAGAACATCTTTCTTTCCTACTGAAAAGTGATTGAGTCACAAGAGGAAATGATTCTGCTTGCTGGAAGAAAATGGGATAGGAGGATTTATGACGTGACCAGATGTTCCAGTAGCCCTGAGGGGGCACCAGGATGGTTCTGCATATGTTGCAAACAGCACAGACTGTCAAACCATGAGACCCTAGGGCTTAGTGCTCTACTTCTCTGATGTGCAGACTCAGGATTGGAGAGTCAGAAGGACCCTTGGAATGAACTTGTCAAGAGATTTTAAACTGAGTGGGGGAGGAATGGGAGAGAGAAAGAGAGAGAGACAGAGAGACAGAGAGAGAGACAGAGAGAGAGACAGAGAGAGAGACAGAGAGAGACAGAGAGAGAGACAGAGAGAGATAGAGAGAGAGAGACAGAGAGAGATGGGGCTGGGGTGTGATTCCAATGGTTCTTAAATGCGACTCAGGGATTGCTAAGGATCAGGAGTTTTGTCCTAACTTGTAGCAGCACTCCTGGAAAGAATGTGAGAGTCGATGTCAGGGATAAAAAGCAGTGGGATATTGTATCACACAAAATTAGTTATAAAATACTAAAACATTATTGTGGCTGCGGGAAAGAACCAACACTTACAACTTTTCTTTTCCTGAAAGGACAGTATCACTTAAACGGGCACATTTCCTTGTTGTTTTTAATTTAGTACATTCTTTACTCTTACTCTACATTGTCTGTTCTGTTTCAGATTTATAGCCACCCTATGGCTGTTCATGGAAATTCTTCAGGGCCACCAAGGGACAGAGGGAGGGAGAGAGAGGCAGGAGGGACAGGGAGAAAGAGAGGTAGATGGAGGTAGACACAGACAGACACAGAGCATGGATAGATTTCTAAATAGAGCCAAATATGAGAGAAAAATTACCATAAGTTAAAATCGTATCTGCAAGGTTAAATACGTTTTCATAAAATGTGGCAGAGCATCTATCTTACCATCACTGTTGATGCACACAGCCTCTTGGACCTGTGTGCCTGGACCACACTCCTTTCCATTATCAGGTTCGCAGTCCCCAAGCCTCACTGCCTTCCAGTCATAGCAGGACGGCTCTTCACAGGGAATGGCTTCCAGTAAGTGAGGGCAGTTTCCTGTCCCTCCAGAGCCCCCAGTGGGCTCATTGGTAATTCGACGCTTCCTCAGTTTGAAGCCTGAGTCATTGGGGAAAAGAAAGCATTTCCTGTCAACAACATAGTTCAGAAAGCTGAATGAAACCCAGGGTAAATGCTGGATGAAGGCAGAGGGTACAAAAGCCATTTCTGTTTTGAATCACTAGTGTATGTATCCCCAGATTGCAGTTTAACCTGAGCTTGTGAACCACTCATCAAATAAAAAAGTGAACACAGGAAAGAATATATTGGGTTTAGCTTTCCACAGGAAAAAAAAAGTCGTATATCTTTCATGGAAAGAGGAAAAGGGAGATAAAGATGGAGACCGAGATGGAGATGGGGATAGAGATGATAGAGATAGGAAATATAAATAATCTTTAAGGAACAAAATCTCAAATTAATCAGAAGTAGGATAAGATAGATTAAATTGCTTGATTTATAATTCTTCAGCACTGGTATATGATTGAATCTGGAAAAGCAATCTCTGAGAAGTTGGATGGTTCTAAGAAATGGTCTTTTTGAGCCTTAGTTGAATTTTGGCTCTCTAGAAATCTGAATTCAGAACCTCAACCTTCTGGGTAAAATGTGGACCATTCACAGTTCTCCTACCTGCTTCTGTATTATGCCAGAGTACTGGCATTCTGACAGTGTAAACAAAATTAATAAATCTATTTACACTGAGTAGATATATTAGAATTAGTAGAAGCTGGCCTTTGAAACAAAATGAGAAAATAAAATTAAGAGATTATGTGACTCTAGTTCACCATGCCCACCATAAAATAAACTATTGCATTTATTCCACTCCTTTTAGATGTATCATTTGTATCATAAAAATAACAAAATTAAAAAAATATTTTTACCTTCAATGCCACAAAAAGAGTTGTGATAATTAACACAAGCTGTAGGTCAGCCCCTGAATTATTTATGTTTATTTACTCATTAATTCTTCAAAGACAATCTTGGTGACAAATATTTTTATGTCACTTTTATAGATAATAGTAAATAAGGAGCAGAGTCGAGTTTCCAGTGTATGTTGATCTGGTATCACATCTCATCCTAACCACTTCACTAAAGTGCCTCAAATCCTCTCTATCATGTTATCTAAATTATCAAGCATTTTGCCTGTGTTCCTCTATTTTATCTTCTGGTACCATCACCAGGATAGGTTTATTCATTTTTTGAAATCTATATTCCTTAGTCATCCTGGAAAATATTACAAACAAATAATCACAAGGAACACAAAAAGCACTTTTTAAATCTATGCGTATTTTAGATATGGAGTATCATTCTTACATACCTTTTTTGCCCTGCTGGTCATTGCAATTTTCGTAAGTACAAGGTCCCCATGCTGACCAAGGTGAAACCTCACATTCAATCGGACAGGCAATTTGGCACAACTGTGTAGTATTAGGTACAGGACCAGTGCATAATTTGGGGTCCACTGGTTTTGAGGCTGTTTGGAGAAAAATACAAGCATCTGTTAAGAATTAAACCATAAGTAAATGTTGTGACCAATAATATAATTTTTGTGAGTAGGGAGAAGAAAATTATTTAAGATGTACCAACAAGATATTTTCCAGCATTTCTGAGCTACATCCTGAGAATAAAAGGAGGAAGTACAAGGAATGAAAGATACAATAAAATACAGTAAAATAAAACTGAACTTGCAGATTATTTATCAGCTTTCTCACTGATTATGCATGCTGTTAATAATGCTAAAGATAACTTTCCTAGTCAGAAAAATAATCCTTAAGGTGAACTCTAAAATTCCATAGCTAGATTTTAAAAAAGTAGAATCTAATTTAGAGAACTGAACATAGCAGGAAGTTGTGGCAGATAAAATGGTCAGTTTGATTGGCCTGATATCCCACCTACAAGTACAAAATATTTGCAGTTGAAGCACATTTTAATTACTTATGCATCCTCTAGGTCTCTGTGCACATAAGGACATACGATCAAGGGTATTACATTGAGTGTTCATCTTGACACAATTTGTGTTTTGAAAAACAACCTGAAGATTTTCTTTTTCTTTTTCTTTTTTCCCTAGTGGTACTTAGCTCCCTAATCCTTATACTGCAGTGAAAATAAATGACAGGGCACCTCTAATTTGTTTAGTATGGAGAACAGTGTGTACATTCACTCTAGCTTAAAAGGATTATTGCTATGTTCATCATAACATCAGCCAAAGCCTGAAATGATTAATCATATTGCTTTCTAACAGTGAAACTACTTGGCACACCAATAATAAAAACTACCAAAAATGTTTCACTTTTTCTGAATATTAAAAAAAACCTTGATATCAATGATATATATTTCACATAGAAATGACTTATCATAAAGTCTCTTAGAGGCAGAAAAGTCTATAGCAAAAACAGCTGAAATAAACCTAACAACTTTCACTTTCAATACTTTCACTTGTGGAATCTTTAGACTGTCATTTAAAGTAGAAGTTTTGAGTAGTGGACATAGAAAGTCTTCTTGTTTCTTCCTTCTGTTGGTTAAAGGTCACAGTTTCTATAAACGAAAATCCAGGCCTGTGATTTTAGAGAGTATGCATTTGAAGAAATTTATTTTATATATAAATCTAAATATTTTTAGTATAGAAATATTGTATTTCTACTTCCTGGCTACTTTCTTTTTTAATTTTGCTTTGGTATATTTTGAATGTTTCACATAGAATAATCAGTAACAAAATTTTCTTTAGCTACTTAGAAGCAGAATTTGATACATAAGGATCAAGAAGTTATTTTTAAAGTAAAGCAACTATGAGTGTTGTTCAACAGCTAAATTAACTCTAAAATAATATAATCTCAGTTTTGTTACTGGAAGAAAGTGAATTCCTACAACTGAGAAAGGAACATAGCCCTGACAATGTTGGCCTTTATTTTAGGCTAGGAAGGCACAGTCAGACTTATGACTGTCATTACTGTAAGATCAGATGTGAAGTTTTTGTAGTACATTACAGTTGTAGTATAATAGTATATGGAGTGAAACCAGAGATAAATAGCACATTGGTATAAGCAACTGTATGGTAAGCAGAAGATTGAGTTTTATTCCCAGTAACAAAACAAACAAACAAACCAAAAAACATGAAGAAAGAAATAAATTTTAGAAAAAAAAGGGCAAATAAGTAGGTTGTTAGAAAATAATTAGAGTGAAATATCGTCAAATCTTTAAAAAGGTAAACATAGTGCTTAGACTGTACTCTCTTGTGTCTGCACCTTAAAATTGTAAGGTCATCTCTTTACATACATAGGTTAAAAACTTTTGAACCAAAAGAAGCAATATGATAATAAAATATTGGTATAACAAATTCAAATGAGGATAAGAAAGGAAGAAACAGAAGAAGTGGAAAAAACAATAAGACAGAAGAAATGAATGCAAATTATTAATGAAAGACATGATCAGACTTAATAAAAAATCTAAAAGACATATTCACTAGTCATTAGAAACTAAAACAGAAGATGCAAAGAAGCCAAAATACTTAAGTGTTGATGTAGAAAATAATTTGTAAAGCTCCAGCATGCTGGAAATGACATGTCAAAAAATACAGAAAGCAAAAATTAATAAAAATAAATTTTAGAGGCAGGTTTTTCCACTTGAAGATGGAGTGCATGTGATTCACTTAATAGTAGATGCTCCTGAGTATTTGCTATATGCTCAGAAATGCCACACTGTTCTAATTTCTAAAAATTTTTATTTAATTGCTGAAAAACCCAATTATTTCAATTACCTGCTTTGGGGTGGGAGGATAACTTGAGGGAGTTATATGGAGGTTAAGTACCTTGTCTCAACTAAAATAACTAGGGAAGAGTAATTTTTGGATACCCAATCAAGTAGGTAGCTTCTCTAATCTTCACTGTGTACTTCCAACTACTCCATGTGACTTTGGAAGGATACATCACGAGGCCTGAATTACACGGAATGCCTACATAGATGCATTTATGTCATAAGAAATTTCCAAAAATAATTACAGTAAATTAAAAATAAAAGTACTGGGGTTATAAACATAATGTGAATCACATTTTCATGGTTATATGATGAAGCTATCAAAATAATCACATATCAACCCTGATCATCTATTAATAATAATTAATATGATTTTTGTGCTGTAGTTATGGACAGCAATTGAATCTTTCTTCTAAAAGATACCAAGAATTGTCTGACAAAAACTGAGGTGCAGCAAAGTGGCAGAGTGCTGGCCTGGCACTCAAATGTCCTGAGTGCAGTCCTCAGCACTGGGGGACAAATGTGCTATCCAAGTAAATCACTGTTAAATGCAAATATTTTTCATTTGTATTGACAATAAAAAGCACTTATATTGCGAGTTTGTCTCAAGGTTTTAATAGGTGAGTGTGGCTATTCCCATACCCTTGACCAGAACAGGAAACAGTCCTCCTCTGTTGTGGGTGGTCATCCTCTCTGACCAAGTGCAGCAGAAGGGACACACATGCAGTGGGAACGAGGAAGGGGACACCTAGCCAGATCAGCCAAGTCAGCCCAGGTGGTCAATAGGGTGACAGACGTCACAGCCAGACACTCTCACATCCATAATAGACACTCATGTTGCGTTTACTGAATTGATTATTTTAATCCACAAGTGGTGCACGAAAAAGTTTAGAGGAGAATCATGAGGTAGTGCAGGCATTCTGAACAAGGGAAGTGCAATCCCAAATTTAGAGCTGAGAAAACCGAGACACAGAGAGACTAAGTAATTTGAGCAAAGTCAAACAGCTAATTAGCGTAAGTTGGGATTTCATTTTTCTACCATACTTTAGTATCTTACAACAATTAGTATAAGCCATGTCTCTCAGCTATTAAATATCTTCTACCAATATATACTGTATTGCTTAGAGCAATGTAATGCTGTAAAAAATTTACTTGATTATTGTTTTGGTAAAGTAAGAGCAGGAACTGTGAATGATACGTATCTGGCAAATGAATCTGTAATATTTTAATTTAAAAATTTAAATCCTTAAACATGTTAATATACAATATTTTAAATTAAATGATTTGTCCCTTAAGATATCCTGAATTAAACTATATGTATATTTTGAAATTTTTTATAATGAAAATATATCTTTGGATTTTCAAAATATTTTGAGTTAGCGATGTCATACTTGATCTGCCTCAGACTTATTTGTATAATGATATGCCTTTTCTGCATTCATTCAAAAGATATATTAGGATTCAAGGTTGAGAAAAATGCAATAAAAATTAAATATTCATTTATCCATTTGACAAAGTGGTTGAACATTTTAAGAATTCAAGATCACTTGATAGTGTATTTATTGTTCTTGGTCCTTAAAAATCTGCTTCTTCTTGAATTAGCATTTGACTTCTTGCAATGAGCTTATTTGATTATTAATTCACAATAATAAAGAAATTTTCTTGGATTTAAACCTTAATTTCTGTATAGGAATTGACCGTACATTATTATTAAGTAGAAGGGAGCATAATTCCTAAAGAGATTCCAGTCACACAAAGATAAAATCATTTACAAATGGTTCTGCTTTCTCTGCTCATTATTTTTTTCCAGTTGGTGAAATAAGCTCTTACTTTTTACATAGTCCATCCTTGTATTGGACACTATAGGTAAAAGGGTATTATAAGCACAGTTGTAGGAATGGTCACTTTTGTTCATTTGCTACTGATGTTTCTCTTAATTATTATAAGCTCATAGTGGTGATTTAGGGATATTTAAGCAAAGTAGTCTCAATTACAAGAAGGTTGCATTGATGGTTCACTCAATACTCACACACAGTTTAGCCAGAGTCATTATAAATTCACTTGTAAGAATTGATGTCAAAAAGCAAATTTTGATCGTGAAAATTAATCCAATTCTATGTATATTAGTTTTCTCAGAAAACATTTTGATTTTCTTGTGCTGAATTTTATTCACAAAATTTTTTCTTGCCCTAATTAATTTAATGGAAACATAAAACCCAGCACATATTTGATAAGAATGCAGCACATTGTTTTCAAAGACTATGCACTTATTTTTAGCCAATTTTGAAATTATATTTAATTTTTAAATTTTAATTTTGAAGTGGGTCTAGGCTGGCCTTGAGCTCACTACGTCCACTCAGGTTGCACCTGAACTTTTCAATCTCCTGCCTTAGCCTCCTGAGTACTGCAATTATAGGAAAATGTCACCACTCCTGACTCTCAAAATTCTTTTCAAACAATAATTGAAAATTATCTATTGGTAGTTAATGTGCTATAATCTTCACTATAACCTACTTCTGGCTATGATTAACTTGTTTTTAATCTTTCTTCTTCTGACCCAAGATATAATATATTTTATTTTCTGATAATAATTCATAAATACTGTCGTTAGTATCCAGTTCGCTAATCACTGCATGGTCCAGATTTTCATCCTGTCCATCCTGCTTGATCACAGATTATTCCTTCTTGGAGCATGCCTGTGTTTGCACTTGGACAATCGTCAAA